CAGGTAGGCGTACTACAGCGAAGACATATACGTGGTTTCGGGCCTGTTTCGCAAACTTCTTTAGTGGTAGGATTTCGATCGCAGGTGTTCCAAACCACTAATAGCCGCTCTGTCCCGAGATGTGTATATCGAGGTCGTGGATCGTCGTCATAGAGAGGAGTACTAGGCTTCTATGGAGCCGTGGATCCCGGTCAATTGCAACGCAGGAGCGGGTAAATCGGCGGGTAATACCCCGGGAATCGGTGGCCTCTAGTAGAATAGTCCAAACTCCGTATGTTGGTGTTAGTCGTTGGTTTATAGCGTGAATAAAAGGTTCTGAAAGCTTCGCTTGTTGGAATTTGTAGGCTTTAACGAATTCGAAGCTGATAAGGTCGACCTTAGCCCCACTGTCAAGATCCGCGTAGGTTTCGAGATCGTTTCGTGCAGTAATCGGTATATGAAACCGAGTTCGTGTCCCTACTACGGGGAAAGACGAAGGCGTAGGGTTTACTCCGTCTCGCTGCTGTTTCCCTGTCGAGCGCTCTACACAGTAACGGGTTTCTCGCCCGAGCGCTTCGGGCAGGTATTCGCGTAGTAATCCGGGCTGCCGCACTTATAGCATATATTCCTCTTCCAGCCCTCTTCAGTAGGGTTCCGATGGTCCTTCGTGGGCAATTCGTGGGCTATCGGATTGTTGTTATTGCTTTCCTAGCGGGCACTACCTCGATAGCCACCTCTATATCGGCCCCTATAGCTACCTCTCCTGGGGTAAGGGAATCTTCCTTGTTCGCCTATAGGATTCGGAGGGAACTCCCTTTGGATTTTCTTCCGAGAGGGTTCTAGTAGTCCTTCGTTGCGCTTTCGCTTGCGATCCTCCTCTGTTTTGTTTATATCCTAGAAGTAGTAAGCGATATCGATCATGTCTTCACAGGTCTCTAGTAATTTAATCACATAGCGGCGGATAGTGGTTTAGAGCGTATACTAGAGCTTAGCAAAGTAGGATAGTGCTCTCTCCTTCTCGGCCGACCGTAGGAAGTGCTGTTCTAGCGTGTCGAGGCGCGCATAGAACTCGCGAGGGTCCTCATCTCGGTATTGGTAGGTTCTTTCAAGCTGCCCCATCACGTCGGATTCGAGACTAGCTGCATTCTTGATAAGGGTTAGGGTCCAGTTCCTGAAATAGGGCTAATCTTCCTTAAGGTTTCGAGGGGTAGTCGATCCCTTTTCCTCAGCATGTCGGTACCATCTCTACCGACAAGTTTAGTTCATATAACTAATAGCTCCAAGGATTTTAGTACGTCCGTCATAATATCGCTTAGGTGCGCCCTCGAACATCTGCTGTAGGTCGAGGAGCCATTCCTGACGTTTTTGGAGTATATAGTCTAGCGTGAAGATTGGCAGATTTTTGAGCTCGATCTCCTGGTCTTTTCCGGATAGGTAGTAGGGTTCCCGGTGGGAATTCAATAGGGAATCGTCGGGCTTTCGGCCTAGAACTTCGGACCTCAGGCGTTCCGCTTGGTCCTGCAGGTCTTTCAGGCGCTGTAGTTTCTCGATGGTAGCCTAAGTAGCTACAAGGTTTAGGTCGAGGTCCCACGGGATAGTTTCGGTTTCTGTAGTTGTTGTTTCGTTTTGAGCACGAGGAGGATTCGGTGCCTCTTCGGTAGAGGGAGTAGAACGAGTCCTTGGTGTCATCTCTCCTAGGTAGTCGAAGAAGAAGAAACAGAATTGTTACGATGTTAACTACTTGCAGGGTAGTAAGCCTGTCAACTAGGTAGGAGAGGATAAGCACTAGGTTGGATTGGAACAGAGACTGTTTCTTAGGGAGCTCTATCTTCTTCTCCCTAGGCTGATCTTATATATATCCCCCATTAACAGAAGGAGGGGTAAACAGGTAAACGTATCAGTCCGCATAAGAAATATATCGGTCAGCGGGCAACTCTCCTCCGACGAAACAGCGGTGGAAGGGAGATGAGAGGTCACCGAACTGGTGCGTCATCGCCAACCTCCGGGGTGGCCTCAGGCCGAAAAGTGGGAATAGCCTCACAGGGGTCAATACCATAACAGATACCCCACTTTTCAACGGTATTTTGGACCAAATCAAACCATAGTTTAATAATTCGAGGGTCCTCTAAAAGAGCCCTCTGATAGTCGTATTTTCGAGATAATCGTGTGAACAAATTTAGATATCGTTTAACAAAATAAGATGCCCAATCTCTACAAACAGTAGAGGGGGTTATTTTTTAGGTATAAAGGAGTAAATTAGCCATATCTCTCAACATAGGCAGTGTAAGAGCAGCCCCTCTAGTATCTATATCCAATAGCCATTTTTCAATCGATTACTCTTCAATTTCAGAGAAAATAATGCGATTGTGTCGTTTTTCAGAAGCAGCTTCACGCCCATTAAGGCGGGCCTTCAAAGTTAAGACTAGTAAATAAAAAGACCGCGCAGTAGCTATAGCAGAGGGATATTTACCATCTTTCATAGCTTTTATAGCTAATAAAAGACGGCCCTCCTGCTTTATTAATTTTTTTTTTAGATCAGACCGTTTTGTTAGGGGAGGGGGGGGGGGGATTATTGTGGTAAACAAGATATATTATTTTCTGAGATAGGTTTTAGTAGGGCCGCTCGGTTAATTCGGTCGCTCGGGCAATACGTTATCACGTTATTGCGCACTCATTCCGCGTTTAGTCTATACCCGAAGCGGTACTTTGCCCCCGACGCTGTTTACTTTGTGAATTACTTTTTAATAGCCTCCATTTACCATCATGACCCCATTTCTTAAGGTGCTTCGTCCTCTAATCCTATTCTATTTCAAAAAATTAAGTGTTAGATAAAAATCCCGCAAAAATGGAAGGCACAGGTTCCCCTAGGCCCTAATACTATCCTCGGCTATTAAACAAGATCTGTGTCTAAATATTAAAGTATAAATAAAAGCTATACTCCCTCCCTCTAAATCTTTCACTCAGCTTTACCCTGCTCTTTCCTTTCTCTCTTCAGTTCTTCAATTTTTAACTGTTGGCATTTTGTTAGGATTCTTTCCAGTCATAGGTAGGAAGATCTTCTTCGCTTAGCGGTGGCAATCTTGACGCTATAGCTATTGCATAACATGTCTAGAGCAGCTAGCTTGAGTCCCTCGCTATGACAGCCTATAAGATTAGTATTTTCTCGTTTTGACGAGTGCCCAAGATCTAGAGCCTCGGGCTTCAGTTAAGCACAAGGATTGACTAGAATCGTTCGGCCGGTCTTTTTGTCGTACCGAAAGAATCCTAGAGCTCGACAGCGCTCATATCGGTCTAAAACATCTGGTATAATAATAGAAACACAATCATTTCTATCCTCGTAAAATAGCTGGAATTCTAGACGATCTAGGTCGAACTCTTCCAAGATAGCGTCCTTCCTGTTAGTTTTTAGTCTCTAAAGCTCTTGTAGATGAAATTCAGCATTACCAGTTCTGATATAGCTCTCTGAATGCAGCCGCTGTATCCCAATTTTCTACGTAGGATAGAGATATGCTAAACGGAAACGTTTACTAACGGTCTAGGCGTATGTCTTCTCCGGTCAGCTCATTATTCTGGGTCTCGCATTTGACTTGTTCGCTCAGGTTTAGCTAAGGTTAGTCAAGAGGCTCTTCCTGTCCGGCGGAAGGGGACTCGTCCTTAGATTGACTCGTGATAAGAACTTAATCAAAGTTTGACTATAAGGCTGGTTGCGATTCCCTCTTTATAAAGTACCCTTAGATATTATCCGCCGATTCTGGTTACCCCCGGCCGTCATAGATGCCGGGCAAGAGTTAGAAAAGGTGAGGAGGAAATAGCCAAAATCATCTAAGATAGAATGTCATTGAACAAATCTTATTTAGAACCTGTACAGCATCTAGGTTAAGTTAATGCATCTCTAAAAATTTGTGATAGATAAGGTAAAGTCTAAGTATGTTGTAAATAATTCTGGTCTGCAAATTCGACAAAGTCGCGTTGAACTGATCTCCTTTTGGTCACCCTTTGAATGCTCTAATTACAGAGACACACAAACCATTAATTAATTAGATAGAGACCAATGGAAAATCCAATTTCCCTATTTCATACTGTATTGCATGCTTTGTATAGCGAACCTAATACTCCACGATTTCCTAATTGCACCTCTAGACCAAGCACATTTTTTCTTTGAATTGCTGACCGAAAATCTGGGTACAGTATCTCACAAACTGTATTATAATTAAAAGTTGTATCATGTGATACTCTTTTCAGCCGATCTTATTAGATGTCAAATCTAGCTAATATGTTATTTGCTAGTAAATATGATATCGAATAAATTCAACGGAATGATCGAACTGATGATTATTATGGGTAAGACTGGATGAAGGGGCTGTTCAATACCCTCAGGGCAAGGTGCACAGGAAGCAATCACCGAAGGAGAACGTGCAGATACATGCATATAAAGCCCTAGATCCCTAATGGCCAAGAGAAGCTAGGCTCAAGAAGGTAATTCACGGGAGATTGAGCAGCGTGCGTGGCAGCAGAGTTCCTACATAGACAAGCCTCTTCTTTTTGCAGACACGCACGTACATGCACGTTGATTAGAACCCTTTCTCTCACTTCGTTCGTTCCAGGGCACTTCGTGAGATTGGGCATCCCAAGTCAACATAGACGAGCACGGGCGATAAGCGATACCTGACATCGATCAGAAACAAGAGAACCTTCGCCGGCGTTTCGCTACTCTTTCAACTTATCAGTAGGTTGCGCCACTTTGTCTTGCACACTCACTTCTGCCTCCAAATCCGAATCAACGGAATTCAAATGGCGAACCACCCCCGGAACCACTGCTGGGATCAGTGTGGCTCGGTCAGGCCTGAAATAATTCAAGGAAAAGTAAAGTGTGAAAGAAAGACAGAACCCATAGAGATAATTGATAGAATAGAGATGTCGCAGCCCGGTATCGATGTTGACCTTTTTTGGTGTCACCGAGTGTGCCAAGCCCGGGAGAAGGGGAACAATCACCACCAGATTGCACAATAGAGCGCGCCAATTTATGCCGAGCTGTTTTTGATCACCTGGATTAGTAAATGTGATTTCAAATTAGAAGTATCGGAAACCGCATACCTTGTAGTAGTATATCCCTCGCGGATCATATAGAGCAGGGACGTCGTATTTGCGTCGCTTAATGAGCCAGTAATCGCAGCAAAGAATGCCCGCAATTGGTGCCATAAATATGGAATATGCGCCCATGAAACTGAGGAAGGTTTGACCGCTCTTAATGATAATCCAGGGACAGAGCGCCCATCCGCCCAGAACCATGCACATGATCATTCCGCGTTTAATGTTGAACCATTTCGGGCACATGGTCGTCATATCTGTATGAGAATTAGTACCCAGTGGGATAAAAGCTTGATCGGTACCAACCGTTTGCGAATGAGATCGAGTTAGCTGAGATATTGTTGCAGATTTGTGCTAACAACCACAGCGATGAACAAAAAAAGGCTGCGGCTCGCCCACCGGAGGAGCCTTGCCACTGGTCAATTATCTGCAACGGGCTCCATAGAATGATCCCATACACCTGCTTAGATGCGCTGGCAGCAATGATGCCAAAAAGACCAGTGATAACCTTGAAGAGGGGAATCATGGGCAGTTGCCAAACTGGACTGCCTGGCTTCTTGCTAAAGCGCGAGAAGTCGGAAATATTGACCGCGAGTGTTGAAAAGCCACCTAGAGCTTCATTAGAATTGAAGGTTATCAATGAAAATATTAATACAAACATACCGGTGATTGAGGTCATATTCATCAGCCATAGCCATGCTCGCTCGGCGCCGTGAACAGTGGATGGCTCATGGAACATCGCACTTCCCCCTCCAGCCTTGACTGATATCCAAATTACCATAGCGAGCGCCATGGGTGGTACCAGAGTGGACTTGAAAATAAACATATATTGCAACTTATGGGTTGGTATGAAGAGGAATGGCGTTTGAACGACATGGTAGATAACATAGGAAATCATTCCCTGTGTCGTAATAGCTGCCGATGCTGGTAAATGATTAGGAAGATTGGCGAAGTTGGGCCAAATGGCGGTGATAATCCATCGCATTTGTTAGCTATATTGGAATACCAGTCATGGACGAGAGTGCACTCACCGGAGTTACACACTGGCCTCCATACGAGCTCTGGATGCCGAACCAAAACATCGCTAGCACAGCACGCGATGCCACACAGAAGTACCCGAAGTACGTGCCATAGCTAGCCCGAATAGCGACGGGAAATGGAATGTGAAGGTCGGCTCCTACAGCACCATTGAGGACCGTTGGTATAGCGTTACACAGCGCCGCGGCCAGTGTCAACAGCACCGTGTCCGTGGCCGAAAGCCCAGACGCGTACGCCGAACTGGCAGCGGACCAAGTTGAAACAGTAACCAAGTCAGACAGCCAGTACTGCGTGAAGGTCCAGCCTGTCCAAGTCCATTTCTCTGGTGGAACTGGATCTTGATCGGCATTACTCCACACATGTGGTGGGGCAATACTGCTATCTTGTTTGGGCAGCGCCCAGCGCTTGCGATGGATCAGACGCATCGCCATTGATGACAATCCCGAGACATCTGGGGTAGGATTGTTCTTTTGAGGTTCGCATGTTTCCACATTCTTGCTGCGCGGTCGCGCCCATGACGGGATTAACCTTTGGCATCTCACAGGCGATGGCGTTCTCTATCTTGCTACCCCTGTCCCTGTCATTATCGTTATCGCTGCGCAGCCACCCTTCACCCTAGCGTCGGCCGAGCTGATAATACAAGATTGCTCTATAGGCACGGATCACCACGATCAAAACCCGTCTCTCGCCCGATATTGCTGGATTTATCTGTTTCAAGGTATCTCACTGGAAATTAACAGCAAAAAAATATGAATCCGTCAGCCAGAAGAAAGCGACTGGCGTGTGCAGAGTGTACCCGGCGAAAGATCAAGTGCGATAAGGTCCTGCCGTGTCGGAATTGCCGCCATAGGTAAGATCATATTCCATGAAGCTCGGCTATTACATTCGGATTCTTACGGGTTCGGAACTTTAGAGGCAGCGCCTGCTATCGCTCACCGCACATTTCTCCTTACTCGCGGGCGACTGCAGGATCTCCACAACTTCCCGAGCGCAGTGGATCCTGCTCAACGGAACTGACTGGGACCCTCGCTGCATGCCTCAACGAGCTGCAAGCTACACTGCGGGCAGTGAGGACGCACGACAGCTTAAGTCCCAACTTTAATGATAGTGCAGTGTCGTTGTCCGCGGTACCGGAAGGCATATCAACTCAAGCACCGTCGGAGGTGGAGGATGCCAGTCCCAGCCGTGAGACGGCCGAAGTGGAGGATGCTGCGACAATCTTGGAATTCTTGGCATGGGGCCGACGGAAAGTCCCTGACTACGACGGTCTAGTTGGAGATCCAAATTGTGCCCCTGCACAGTCACCCGGAGATGTATCTCTACAGGGTGGTCCTGCAGACCCTCCTCAGTTGCGTTTCACAGATGACGCGTCTTCGCTTCCACTCCTGCAACTGTTGCTTCCTGAGCCACCCACTTTACTGCGAATGGTCAATTACCACTGCGAGTGCCTTCTGTGGTATCACGCTTCATTCCATGGGCGCATATTCCAGGAAGAAGTTGACCGTTTTATCAAACAACACCAAGGCCGTATTGATAACCAGCAGATCGATCTTCAGTGGGCTGCACTTCTTTTTGCCGTGCTGGCAGGAAGTATGATATGTGCGCCCCGTTCAGTGTCTACTTCGTGGGGATTTCAAGATCCTGAGCGTACTAACTTGGCTCATCGAATTTTCAAAGCCGCCTTGGTCTGTCTGAATCTGGCGGATTATACTGCTCACCATTCCTTGTATGGGATCGAGTGTATTGCGACAATGACAATAAGCGCTCACTTGTTGGGTCATTCTAATAGCCACTCCGTCAAGCTTGCATCTGCTGTCCGGATCGCGCAGAGCTTGGGTATGCACAGACTAGGCGGGGAACCCGATGATCATCCAAGCAATCCAGTACGAAGGGAGATCGGCCGACGACTATGGACGGAGCTATGTATCCAGGATTGGTTCTCAATTCCCTTTTCGGAAAGCTATCTGATTCATCGCCAAGATTTTAATACGGGCAAGCCTCGAAATTGCATGGATGATGACAGAATGACCCCTGTCCCAGACAATATGCCAACTCTTGTGACCTACCATCGTTTCCTATACGACATTGCAACACTCATGCCTCAGCTTCAAGATGACCTATCTGCATCGCACACATTATATACAAAATATGAGCATGTCATCCGATACGACACACAAATGCGCACATTGGTCAGCAAACATATTCCTTTTTGCCTACGCAATACTACTCTCGAGCCATCTTGGCCGTCCTACGTACCGTGGGCTCGACACTGCCTGACTATTAGCTCCGCTCATAAAGTTATCATGATTCATCGCAAGTTCCTCTGGTCAAGCTTCACCAACCCGGCGTTTACATTTACCCGCAAGACCTGTATCGCGGCGGCGAAAACCATAATTCGGGAACAGAAGCAACTGGTTCGGGAGGATGGACCGGTACTCTGGATTTATCACGCGTTTAGCGTGGCAGCAAGCGTAAGTGTCCAGTGATCGCTTATTGCCCTACTACATAGATACTTACCTCATTCCAGATCATACTGTGCTTAGATCTTTTCTTCCACCCACTCCCTGACTGTGACCAACGAGAGAATCGCGAGTTAGCCAAACACATGATTGAGATCTTGTCTCAAAGCGGTACCAGCATGATTGCCATAAGAGGTGTTAAAATATTGCGTCTGCTGCTTCGGCTAGATCAAGATCGAGGCAAAGAATCATCAGGCTGGGATATTCGTGGCCTCATACAATCATTCTGTGAGCAGGAGGCATCCGCGAGCCGTACAGATCATTGGCGACCGGTTGATAACCTCCCATCTATGACTGAACCGCGTTCGCCAATTTCGACCATGCAACCGCCAGGATTCGCAGCTCGGGAGTCTCATACGGAAGAACTTTATAGCAATTGCCTTCTACCAAACTCTAGTTTTTGGGTACATGATTCCTTAGAGGACATCTTGCTTCTCGCGCAGAATGGAGGGGGATGATGTAGCAGTAGATTTAAATGTGTTAATTATGATAACAAATACATATAATGCCTATGATAAAATTGCGCCGCTAATTTCCACGATCTGCTAGTTGAATTTACCTCGCGTTATAGAAATGAGACTGAGCGCCATATCCAAACAGGTCAGTCGAAAGGGTCGCATTATTGATCTACTTCTATTTCATTTCTACTAAGGAGTAGTTTTTTCCACATCAAAGCACATACAGAAGCGCTTAATAGTGATATTTACTTGGTGGGACAAAATTCAAATGCATCTACTTCGAAGAAGCCTTGCAACTTGTCCCATCCCTCGTTCGTGAACAACCATGGGGGCACGGGTAGCTCGGATCGTACTGCCACAAGAAATAGGGATCGGTCTCATTGGTGAGAACATTGCCCATTAATCGCGCGTGACTCGGAAGGTCGAAAGAGGCCTCAAAGACGTCAAATGAAGAAATACGGATCTGACCCCAGCCATTTTGGATTAGTGTATCGATCGACGTTCCGTAGACATATTCTCGGAACCCTGCCCAGCGAATTGCAGAGGCACACTTTGTCCTCGTTAGCTAATTATCCAAGTATCGCCAAAGGTCGCAGTTATCATACCATAGGACAGCTCTCAGCATTTGTGTACAGCGTTAGGTCGGCGAACGCATCTTGTGCCTCGGACGCGCTCATACGGAACTTGCCATGGGGGTCAGTTAGAATCGACGTGCAATTCTTGATGGCCGCAATTTCTCCTGTAGGGTGAGGGTTCGCATCAGTAAATGCGAGGTTGATTACGAACCAAGAAGCTAGCCTTACCGTGGAGAGAAGGATTGCCGGTATTTCCATTCTCATTGACGCCCATGCAAATGAGTTTGCCTGCTTCGGAGGCCGTATGGTTGACGATGACCGTTCCGAAGGCGGCAAAGGGACAAGGAGAGCCACTTATCTCGCCTAGTGCTTCGTTTGCCAGGCGCATCCAGTGGGCTCGAGTCGGGAATGTGATGCCATTGATCATCAGATTCGGGTCCGCAAGTACCACTGCCAGCGCCGCAGGGAGAATTCCGCTGAGTAGAGCGAAGACACAGACTGAAGACCGCATGTTTGAAGTTCCGGGAGTAGAGAATGATCCGAGGCAAAAGCTCAGCTAACCCTGTACAATGGCGAGATGTTAAATCATTTGAACCTCTGCTGGAAACCCTCAATTCTAATCAAGGCGGACGGGATCTACCGTCAACCGTAGTCGGCCGACGCCGCGACCGACCCAGAATCCTTGAAACCAGCCGCTTGCTGATCGATAAGAGCACTGATAAGGTATAATATCACTCCACGATTCTCGAAACACATGGCGTCTCCCTATCATGATGATAGGGTAGGCGATAAAGCTGCCATAAGTCTGGATTAGAACCATTGATCAATGACGCGCCATTGGTTGGTCTGACAACGCTGTTTTCTGCGTTGGAATAGCATCATGGCTCAATAAAGAGATAAAAGAATAAGCAAATAAATATTGTATAAAGCAAAAATGGTACCTAGTCGTTCGTCTATCTGGCGGCAAAAGAGCCCAAAGGTGAGTATGTATGGTTTATGAAAAACACCAAAGCTCACCTGCCCTGCCAAAACGCCAATCCATGCCGTCATCCCTGCATTGCTTCATTCCATGTTCATGGTCTTTCTCAACTTCCGTAGAGAGAGAGGTTTCACCAGATAATCAATCTCCACAGAGAATGCCTGGTCTTGCATTGCGGCGGACGCAATTCCCGTCAGCGCCGTCATGCCCGAAGGCGAAAGCGAGTTTTCTTTTTCAAAGTCTCTGATTTCGCTCGTAGAAGTGAGACCGTCCATCACGGGCATGGAAAGATCTGCCGATAAGATTCTCATTGGGTCAAAAATTATAGATCGAGGTTTCTTCATTAAATACTGTTTGGATATGCTATCCGTGACATGAAGGTCACATTTCAAGCTATCGGCATTAAGCCAGGCTCAATTATTATTCCCTTGATTAGGATTAAGCGATGTGACAGATATATAGTCTCGCCTTAGGCCATCAAGGGAATCGGCACAGGTCCCTTTGGACCAATACTGCCACTGATGTTTGCCTGGTGCATAGAGCGAGGACCCATGATGATCGGATAGTCAATAGCAGAGTGGAAGAGTCCGTAATTATCCCAAATTACCATATCTCCTTCCTCAGCTGGGGCCAGCAGGATGTACTCAGGCTTGAGGATCCTGTTCTGGATACCCAAAATAAACTTGCGAATCTCTGCCACATCCTCAACAATACGAGGCTGCTCCTCCTGGGAGCTACGCAGATAAAGCTTTCGGGCACAGATTCCGTGGACCTGGAAGGCTTTGTCGCCCGTAAAAGGATTCACCCAGACCAATGGATACTATTCCTCAAGTTAGCCAATAGATCATGCGACTCGGGGCTCGATCAGATCAATACCTTCTTCACTGCCGTCGTATCATATTCTCCAAGTTCTTCTTCGGTGAGACGCTCACCCCCTTCTGCTAGACCAAGGCCGTTGGTATTGCCCTTGCACTTCTCAATCCACTTATATGGATAGGGCGCATATTCGACCCAGCTGTGATCGACCAACGCCTGCTCTTCGGGCGATAACATGAGATAGAGCTGAGATGTGCTGAAATACGCAGTCTGTCCCGGTGGGGATTGCATAGTTTGACCGGACCCGTCGGCCCATTGAACAGTGAGATTGGGTCCTTTAGGAAGGGTAACACAGCGCAGGGTTGTGAACCACGCAGGATCCTTCCCATACAGTGGAGCATCGATATGCCAGCGTTGGAAACGCGTGATGCCCTGCTCAAATTCCTCCACGGATGGTGGGACGGCATGAAAGTCATTGCTGAGTCCGCGTTCGATGGTGTGGTTCACAATACCGAAGTGGTTCTCCCCTTGGAAGCCCTTGCCAATTAATCTGACGTTTTCTGCGCCGGGGATTCCAACGACCTCTCTTCCTTGCTAATATCCGTCAAAGCTCGTGAAAATGAACAAAAGTATCGGATGGGAAGGCATACAGCAAGAAGTCCACCCTTCGCCCGGAATGTGGTAAGATTTCCGTGACTGTGGCCATCACTGGCCTTGGGATCTAGCCGGGTCACGAGCTCCCATTGCTTCTTAGGATTTAGGTTGTGTTGGGCTTTAACGACAATGACCTTGTGGCGCCAAATGGCAGTTTTGAGACGATCGACATCGTCATCTATTCATCTATGTTAGATCCGGCCTCCAACCATTAAGATAGTGGGTTCAATAAGGACCCACCTGAGATGTTGTTCAAGTCTACTCCAGTCACGCGAGCTCCGAACTATCGAAACATGAGCTTGAAAATACTACCACTAGGCTATTAGACATGGATACTCACGTTGAACTTTTGCTCAGGTGTCCGCTCCAGCGGTGTCACAGTGAAGGAAGTGTGGTTGTCCATTGCGTACGATCGATTGTTGTTCTAATGCAAAGGAGGTGTTGATCGATGATCTGATTGATCTGATTGATTTTATTTATGTATTTTTATCAATCTGGCAGGTCCTTTCCCCAGAAATTGAGGGGGGCCGTTTATCAATTGCATTGACTTCTATTGGTCTGACCTATTATTTCCCCCGGCCGAGTCCGTCCGAGCCCCCGCGGCATTTCAGCAGAGATAGGCATCGCACATCACATGCGCAATTCGTTATCCATTCATGCGATTCGGATTACCATCCTTGGAGCTTGTATGTTACCCAAGACAAATAAACCAGACATCTATTACCATATCGTCGCACGGACCATGGAGCGGGTTTGCAGACCACGGCAGAGCCATCCCGGCCGACAGCACGGCCGATCTTGACGGCCGCTTAATCATTACCCAGTCGGATTCCGCAGAGCTCCTCGTCGCACAACCGACAAAGGGTTTCAAGCATTTGGAGAGTCTCACAAAATTATCCGGGGTATGAGCTGACAAATGACAAGAAAGTATCAGTGAGACTCGCATCGCAGGGTACGGGGTCTCAGCTCTGTCGTAGATGAATCTAGCATCGATGATAAGCTACAGAGCTGGTAAAAACATAGATTATAGTCTGTAACTCCAAAATGTTGTGATCTATCTATCGTATGCACCGGAATCTATTCCTCTTCTCTACGGAATTACCAGGATTGATTGGAACTCAACCTAGAGGCTGGATGTTGTATATAAACCCTCAATTTTCTTGTCTAATGAATACAAGCAACCTTCCCTCTGAATTATAACACAGACCAGTCGTGGTTTGAGCTAATATATATATATGGAATCCGTGTACGCTAAGCAACGCGACCCACAAAGCAGAAGTTTGACCTGCTATTGGTGGACTTATTGAACCAACAAAGCCCAGGCATATGTAATACATCGTGTCGCATTAAAGCTGGCATTGTACGATTCAAGGTAGTAAGGAAGAAATGAAAATATCGGATATAGTGTGATTATGACTAGGATATCTACTTGTCGACCTTTTCAAGAAGAGTCTCGATGGCTTCAATGGATCCCTCCAAATTCTGTAGAATCATCTGATGTCCAACGCCATCAAGGATAATCACCCACGCATTGTCTCCAGTCAACTCCTGTAGTCCCACGGATCTTTCTGGAGGAGAGATGATATCACCACTTCCTGCCAAAAACAAGGTCGGAGCACTGATCAGGCTGTAATCCGGATCCAGATGATCAAGACCCGCGATCGCTTCACATGCTCTGGCATAGGATTCGGCATCACAGCTGGCCACTGCTTCCCGAACGCTCTGGCGGAGCTCAGGTTCAACCGTCCCTTGTAACGGGAAGTTGGAGGTAGCTGCTATCTCCGCTGCAGTTTGAATTCCTTCTGTGCGCGTCTTGGCCGCTAGACCTAGCATTCGCTCTCTTGCAGCCGGAATGTGGGCGACTGAGCGACCTGCTCCAAGCAAGGCGAGACCTCGAACCTGATCTGGGTGTCTCGAGGCGTAGTGCATTGAGACGATAGCCCCGAGGCTGTGGCCGATGAAGAGCAACTTCCTCCCGGAAAAGCCCCCAGGAGGGTCTTGCAGAGATGCCACGAGATGTTCCAGGTCGTCGACATATCGGGGAAGAGAAAGCGTAGTGTCAGGCGAGGACAAAGTGGTTTGGCCGAATCCCTCGAAGTCAACGCAGGCCAGGCGGTTGATCTCTGGCGACAGAGACTGTAGAATTGGCCAGAATGTCTCGGTCGATCCACCTAGTCCGTGAAGAAGAATAATGAGAGGGCCTGATGGGTTGCCTGTTTGGGTGAAATGCACGTTTGTGCCGTTAGGCGTCTTGTGATAGAATGATGTAGAGGATGTATCCATGTTGAAAAATAGGGCTCAACGTGAGTTTGTAATTACTGCAAATCGTTGAGGAAGCTTGAAAACTGCAAGGGCAAAAGACTTCAATAGAGAAGAAGTTGCTGTTCTACTCAGGCCCACCCGATCGGCGGGTCCGTCCACGGCCGAGAACTGCCCGTCTATATCCGCGATCCGACCGTCAATTTGTCTGCCAAGTCCAATCAGATATCACCTTGGAAGCGATGTCCAGATAAAAAGGATAAATAAACCAATGTAAGCAAGGTATCGTACCTTGGATAAATTATCTTTAACATGGTTTTCGCTGTCTTTACCACTGCCACTGAGGCCGAGGCCCCTAAGGTCCTGGCTATTCGCGAGGTCTACCAACCTCCGTCGGCGACCAGTAGCGATGGACGTGTGGTGCCCATCAAGCATGACAACAAAGTAGACTTTGGAGCCGAGATCTATGGTATTGATCTTAACAACTTCACCTCCGCCGATTTTGCCCTCATCTCTGATGCCCTCCATCGCCACAAGCTCCTAGTTTTCAAGGAGCAGCCGCAAATGCTGACACCACAACAGCAGTATCGACTTGCTTCATGGTATTCTACCCATAGACTGTCTTCTCATCAATATTAATTATTTACTGATCCTTGTCTTTCCTTTAGCTTTGACCCTGACGAGAAGACCGGAGGTTTCGCTCACGGCGCCGACCCTGTACTTCTGTCGGAAAATGGGGTCACCATTTATGGTCTTCCCAACCGGCCAGCTATCAACGCCCAGCCCCAGGTCCATATTCTAGGGCGTGGCGAAGTTCCTCAAGGCCATTTCGATTTCCCGCCAGGATTCAAAGTGAAGGGTATTGACCATGTCAACTTCCACCTTCCACCACACACCCCACAGGAAGAAAGAGATGCCGGCTCCAGTCGTTTTTATCAGTGGCACTGGGATGGCTCTCTGTACAAGATTCCTCCCCCACGGGTAGGCTGTCTGCTGGCTGTACGCACACCGAAAGGCCCCGACGTTACTGTTCACTGGGGTGATGGTACTGGGAGAACGATGGACATCGCACCCGGTGCTACTGCTATGATAGCGGGATCGCGGGCACTACAGGTCTTGGAACCAGAATTGCGCGAGATTGTCTTGCACAGTCGTATTGAGTACGCACCGCACGCGTTCCAGTGGATGTCAACTGCGCGCAGCACTAAACTCGGCCATCTTATCGAAACGGAGGGACGCGAGATGCCGCTAGACAAACTTTCGCCGTGGACAGAGGATGGAATTTGCGTTTACCCTATGGTGTGGACCAATCCGGTGACTGGGGAGAAGTCCCTTCAAGTCCATGGCCAAGGTGCTTTCAAGTTGTATCTCAGGAACAAACCGGATGGGGATGAGACGGTAGTCACCGACCTGAAGGAGGTCCGCGCCTTTATGGACAAGTGAGTTTCTCTATTTTGGCGTTAGGGATCCATGATGAGCTAACTAGCGACCGCAGGATTATGAGTCCAGTCTTGTCACCGGAGAATATTTACGCGCATCCTCATCAGGAGCAAGATGTCATCCTCTGGTACAACCGGGCCTTGTGGCACAGTATTGTGAGTGTTTTCTTTTTGTCATTTGCGAAAATGCAATTCCTAACTGATCACAGACTGAGTTCCCCGAGTCTTACGGACCACGAATCATGCATCAGTGTAACATCGCAGCGTCGGACCACCCTTCGGTGTAGGAAGATGCCTCATCATTAGGCTGCGGCAGCATCGGACGGATCGTACGATGTTATCATATCGTATCGGATCATAGCCGACCTCGATACGATAACGATATTTGGATTTTCCGTCCGATACGACTACGATATTCAACTTGAGCTGTTGGATAATCGTCCGATATCCATCCGATAACAAATCTTACACACAGGCCAAGACTAGTAACCTAAACAAATTTGTATAAGATATGCAATTTTCCTAGTATTTTTGGAGTAATCAATGTGTAATCGGTAGTATATCTATCACGGGAATATGTGGCCTATGATGTTTTCTGCTAATGGATAAACCTTGTCACTGTTTATTGCAATATCGGATATTCAATTATTCAAGATTATATTACAGCTTATCAAATTCAAATCTATCTGGCTGCTTTAGCTTCTTCCGAATCCTCCCTGATCGTACCTACGTACACTCTTTAGTCAGTATTCTAGGAAGCGGGATATCATTATCACTATCATCCTGAGGCTTAACGGTACTATAAAGCCGCTTGCGGCGTGGTTGCTTGTCCTGGGTTATAACCGGTAATGCGTATCTGTATGACTTCTTCAAGCATGGCAACATTCATGCACTGGAACGAGATAACGGGGTCCGCAAGGGCGATATCTGGTTCGTGCTCAACGACTTCTCGCTCGTGCTAGCAACGATAGTGACGAGTCTGGAAAACTTCCTCAAGCTGACACCTGGCACTGAACTTGATATGTTGGATGTGATGGGTGGAGGCGAAGCTCACGAAATGGAAATGGACGGCACGCTGAGCGAGGCGGCCGTCAATGACAGAGACACGGTAGTGACGACGTCCGCACACATAGCCAGGCACCAGCAGATTAGAAGTGATTCGACTCGTCCTGTGGCCTCAATGTTGTCGACTACGGAGAAAGTGGGAGTGACGGAGAATTGGGATGACGACGTGAGCGATGGACCTGGAGGAGCCAAAGAAGGCACCGAAGACGCTCCAAACAGTTTAGATGTTGCCTTGGAGCTTGCCAAGAAAGCAAAGGAGAAAGAGAAAGCTCGCGGAAGGCGAAAGTGGGCGGTTCAAAGCGAGAGTGAAGAGCCTACCAAGTTTGCCAGCAAGGAGCCCTCTTCTGCTGCTGAAAATGACGGGGATGATCGCATTCTGTTGGTGTTGAAGGCGTTCAAGGTGCTGCAGGAGGAGTTCAACGCGAAGTTCAGGGCCATGTGGGCATAGACTGCGTTGGATGTATCATTGCTGTATGGAGAGTCAGTCTGTCGATGAGAAGTGTGAGAGTTTCCAAAATTGTCTCGTAGAATCCTACCCATGCACGACCTTGTTTTCGAGGACAAATCCAGCAATCATGATATACTACAAACACTACGAGCCTTTTCATGGAAGTGCGTGGATATTCAGTTGAATGATTATCCATCTAGCCTCTTCGACATTGGATTCAGGCATACCGATAGGAAAGAAACAACTATACTATTCCCTATTGTTAAAGCAACTCAGGGGTTGATTCCATTTCTCCGTGTCATGATTGGATCGTGGTGCGTCCTCCTGGCGAGGGTACGTGCCGACTGGCTGCGCACCCCATCAAAAACCTCGAATTCCAACTCCAGCTGCCACCATTTTTAGACTCCATAGTCGAGAATAACTACCATAAAAACAGGCTAAATGGTAAAAGAGGCAAAATTTTCACCTGGAACCTGAAATAATATACGAATACCGATGTTATAAGCAAAACCTCCTCTGAAAAAATTGAAAATCCGGAGGTCACTTACTTGATCCATAATGCCTTAAGCTCCCTCCGACTTCTCTGCACACCTATTAGTCTCTTGGGTGGCTGTGGGCCTCGACCCTAGTACTGTGTATTTACCACTGACTCTGCCGAGAGTCGCCACGCACGCGACGCGTAGGTCAGGAACGAGCGCGTCCTAGTAAAGTTGGTTAAGCATTATCAATCATGGTTTTCCTGTGGAGAACTTGTAAAGTCGGTATGTGGCATCGTACGCTTGGCGGCGTTCGAGTCTTTGAGGGCTGAGTAGAGCTTCGTGGAGCTGATAAGTAATTAGTGGTGCTCAATAGTGCGTTATTGAAAGAGTGTGGAAATGGCAACCCACGAGCTGAGAACTGGGACTTTTGACGAGCCTGCCCTTCAAATCTTTCGCCAATTGCTACCTGTGTCTCGTAACTGAAGAATTTCACCTGGTCCCCTTCCGTGTTACATTAGTATCAGCCTTGATCAAATGTGCCGGCACTCTGACTGAGACATATGTTTCGCTGTTGAGCTATCTATCCTCGATGCTTTTTTTCTTCGGTAGACTAAACCGGCAGCGTTGACGTGGACGAGTGACTTTGTACGGGCTATAGATTTCCACCTTGATGAAGTGTTGCGAATTGTGAGTATCGCAAATAATGGATGTATAACAGTATTTCGTATTCCTCTCTTCCTTTCTTCGCCCCCTATATTTACCGCGGAATCATGACCAAGATGATCTTCACCATTCAAATACACTCTTGTCACGGTACTCGGCGACTCTTGAATTACATCAGTTGTACCAGAGTGTGGTGTTGTGCGATCTCCGCTCTCCACCTCCGCATGCGAATTTCGGTAGTTGGGTCAGCCACTGTAAGCAGTGTGGGTGGCCAAAAAGAATAAGGAAGCAAGCAATTCGGATCAGCGCTGAGCCTCTATGTTAAGTCGGGAGGATGTCACAAATCAAGGTGTGGTGGTGGACAGCAACAGCTGTCGCTTTGGTGAGATTTATTCCGAATCCTTTCAAACCTCTGTCATTTACCCTGCACCGGGAGGTTTCCGGGTACCTTGCGCACTGCAAGACCACTCACCCCGAGTATAGGGGGCCAGCCGACATGGTTCATGTCACAAGCCGAGGCCCTGCGGTGTAACTCATAAAGCAGCGACCGAAGCATCTTCTAGTGGGTCTTTGCCAATTGCCGCAAGGGAGCATAAAACAGGAATCATCCGGCAAGGCGAACGAGTTATCATGCCACGGTGTGACCTTGTTTGATACACGGACAACTAATAATATTGCATGTCCATTCAATGCGCTATCAAAGTATAATACAACCTTGCCCCCTTTTAAGCTTTTCAATTTCCTGACGTAGAGTCTTCACATCTGCTTCGAGGTTCTCTACTAATATTACGAGGGATCCCTTATCTAACACTATCCTTCTAGCTTCGATCATAGTCGGCTAAATGCTACGGCGCGGGGGTTCGAGATACGCTCGTAACGGGTAGACCTGGTCGCCCGTGAGTAGTTACTATTCTATTTTCTCCTACTAGATACACTTCTACTTATATAGGCGAGTATTCAAGAGACGATCGAGCGCGTAGGGCTCCAGCAATTCTTGGACTTAACCATTCTCGTCCAGGGTAAAATCCTAAGGACCCTGGTAGTGTTCAGGTTGGAACACCACGTACAGGGCCTCCTGTGAGAGTTCCGGCCCGAGACGGGACACTCGGAGAACAGACGCCACGAATTGTTTCCACGTATGTCGGTATCATTATCAGCCCTATGAAGTCTCCAGAAAGAAAAATGGTCGAGAAGATGGCTCGGTGACCGCATGACTCTTGAGCCAGGTAAGAATGGGATGTCCGGTACGACACATAGTTTCCTCACAGCGGTCAAGTACGTCGTCAATTCCGGCAACCAGATGATAAATTCGCTCTTCGTCTGCTGGTGGACTCAGTAATACTCTGCCCTGGAAGCAGCCTAGCAGTAGACCGTGGTTGATACTAGAAACGGCTGGGAGAAGCATTAGTGGGTTGAGAATGTCACGGGAAATTCCCTGATATGTCACGATCCACTGCGTCCTCTCCAGCCATGGGCGAGTCCCTTCATAAGTATCTTGCCCGCTATACTGAGAACTATTCTGTGGTTTCTGGACGGTGTGAAAGTGCACTTCTCGCTTGCGTGGGTTATAATATTGGCGCTACACAATTGAGGTTCGTTTACAACACCTTCGTCCATGCCCTTTAAGGGTACGCTCAAAATAGTCCAGAATGATTGGGGCGTAGTTGACTGGGTCCAGGACTGAGCGGAAACTGGCTTGTACAGCATATCCAGATCGAGACGCACCGTGGGATCATCCTATTTGTTCCCCTTAGGTGCCGGCGTATGAGATGTACGCTTGTACTGATATAGGGATACTGTAAATACTGAAACCGGGCACACGAACCTGGGGAGCCAAATGGAGCTAGATGAGATTGTGACCCGTTTGGCTATGGTTTAGCTAGGCGGCCGCTTCTGAACTGATATATTTGAAGATATTGGTCCAGTCCATTTCGCCGGTTCTTGGGGATCTGATGTTTTTCCGCAAATGATTGCTTGCCCGTATGCCTTCGGTAGGTATCACGTACCAGCAAAGCGTGCAGATGGCAACGTTCTCCTCCCAGTCGAGATACAAGGGAGCGAGGGCCATTCGCGCGTGGAAACTGGATAGGCAAGGGGAGCAGAGTGCGACATTGAAAGATGACAGGTTCCTAACAAACCTGTCGAACAGAAAAAGAGTGAAAATGGTAGCAGTTGATGAGGAGAGCGCAAAGAACTCTAGGACCTCGCCATAATGTACTACCACTTTCTGGTAACGCGACGCGTCGCATGTCGAGCGAGGGAAGAGATATTGCCCCTTCCAATCCCCATATCGCCATCGCTACGGATGGTTTGGGACCAGTGCTAGTGAATAGAGAGAATTGAAAAGAATAGGCTCAGTTGTGTCATCCCCGAAATCCAAGTATGAGGGAAGCATATCTTGATCAATAATGGCAATTACATTAGATGGTAAGAGTGCATGGTCGGGAAGCACATGGGCATTGATATGGACTGTAATGGCGGGACAGGTCCTTGTGGCGTAGTAGGCTAGTAGCCTTTGAATCTCACCACGTGACCTTGGTCCGGGGTTTTTCGTCCGAGGTTCTATTGGCTAGAGTCGTCTCGACTCTCCTGCCACCAGTTTTCGAGATAATAAAAAAAATGAGAAGGGTCCTGGAACGGGGTCACCACAGACATTCTAATGGTATTAAAAATTGTCTCCGAAATGGCAGGTTAGTGGTGGATGTACCAGCCAGTCAGAATTCGCCGCATAGGCAGGTTTTTCCGAAGCCAAGACTCTAATCGTCGGTCTCACATGCGTCTTTCCTCGTGCGGGGAAGCATAAACGCGGATTAGCCCCTACTAAGCTCTATCCATCGTTCTTCTTCTACCGTCCCTCTCAGTATTATTCCAGCATGGGTCATTCGCTCAAGGGTCGATACTTTTATCGTTGCTATTCTTCCGCTAGTGCCGGTGCACTGAGATGTGGAAAGTACGACGATGCCCCCAATAAGCTGTCGCACCACGAACTACTTCATGAATTTGCAAATCACAGAATCCGAACTAAGAAAGTTCCCACTGCACTCGTCTCTGTCACCGTTCGACCCCTTGAAGCCCTCCAACGTGCCTTAGCGAAATTTTACACTCCACAGGAATATGCGGAGGGCCCAAAAGAGATATGGATTGCGATATTGTTTGTTCCGGATGATGCCAAAATAAAGCCTCACCGGGCCTGTGAACTTGCACAACAGTCCACAGGAAGCAAAAATACCGATGTTTTCAAATATGAATATCTTTTCGAACGAGAAATCCCGAAAGCTTACGTGAAGCACAACGTCTCGCTCGAAAAGCTGCTCGAAGGTGGACTAAGCGTGAAAAGCTTCCTCGACGCTGACAAAAACTTTCCCAGCACTCTGAGAAGTTTGCAGAGATTAGTAATGAGAGAATTGCTGGATGGGGACGCATACGGTGTTGGTCGTTGGCTAGGTGGCATCGCACGAGCCTTCGGTATCGGAGCACCATTTTACGAAATCGCCCATAATATACTTTCAGATTGCCTTAAGCGCTTCAGCTGCATCGACGAGGATCATCAGTATGGCTATTTTCATTGGGTGGATGATTATGGAAACGTTGAATTGTGTGGTGGTATTGAGTTTGCAAGCATATGTGACATTGAAGACGGAATTAAAGATGAATTCGATTCCTGGCTTGGCCTTTGAGAACGAGTTGTGTAACGCCCCGCAGCAAGCAAGCTACTTTGCAATACATGTTGTCTCCAAAGCTTCTGTTTATTCCTCCCCTGGGGTAGCATTACTTAATTTTAGCGCTGAAACGGGTCTAAAATATGTACTCGATACTGCAGCGCAGACAAGTGAAGTTTGAGGCCAACGTCCAAGCTTTTGAGCGGGGCGAAAATACGCGGCGATCCACTCCTACACCACTACCGATTTGGACTTCATCAACCACCCGTCCCTCTGGCGAGCGCCAATTCTGCTCCGGCTGTGCCCGACCCTTGCTTTCCTTGCAGTACAGGACGTGTGATGGCTGCCGTGCAAAATCTGCGCGTTGGAATCCCATAGCTCTCACCAAACCGCACCTTCCAACGACCAGCCATCTTCTTCCTTACAGCTTCCTTCGCTTTCTGCCACTGCGGATGCCTCTGCCCGCCGTGTGCTCTGCTCCCACTGTGCACGGCCCTGGCGTTCCCTGCGGTACATGACGTGAGACAGCTGCCGTGCGAAGTCTGTACGCTCGAGACAATTTGCTTCTCACCAGTCCGCACCTTCCAACCGCCTGGTATCTCCTTCCTTACAGCCTCCTTTGCTTCCTGCTTCTGCGGATGCCTCCGCGCACCGTGAGCTCTGCTCCAGCTGTGCCCGGCCTTGGTATTCTATACAATTTAGAACCTGCGATTTCTGCAGCGAAAAGGTCCGTCAGAATCATCTGCCTCGTCTTCATAAAGCACGGTCTGCGCTTTGGTGGGAGCGCCTGAGCCGCTTCTCAGTCCCAATCTCCTCCTAAACATGACTGACATACCCTACGCAACCGCAGGGACAGTGGACCTGCTTCTCGCCCGCTTGGATGGAGAAGATCCTATTGTTAGCCCCGCTAAGGATAAGGGCCGCATTGGGTTACAGGCGCATATACAAACGCAAGGCACCAGGAAAGTCCGTCAACTGCAAAGCCTCCTCCAATTGGTGCCAACCAGAGTAACAACCTTCAGTACGATCACTTCGGTAAAGGCGAGCAGAGACTTGTGGGAGGCCATTGTTTCGAAACGAACAGAGATCAGAATTTCTGCTGGTCACACAATTAGTCGCTCTTTGAACGATGCAGGGCCTTAGAGGAATGCGATCTTGAGGTGTTCGATATATGCACGTGCCCAAGCTTTCGGGTTATTCCCTCGCCCACGCATAACCTACTACAGACTATGGCCCGTGTGTGTCCGTCCATTGGCGAACAACCTGTTGAGGAACTTCTCTATTACTGCTCTGCTGTGAAGAGTCGTCATATTTGAAACAGCTACCTATTTTAGCCTTTCCGCTATAGACTTCTTCCAATCCTAGTGTTAATAGCCCGGTTGAAGAGAATTTGAGTTCTTCATTGACTTTTAGCCGATCTGTGTTACTGGGAAAACGCAGCGGCCAAAGGCACTGATAGTATTTCAGCAGCTGTAACCAGGATCTATCGATTTTGGTGAATTTGGTGTCGACTAGGAATAATTCTTCATTCTGATACCTCGCTATCTATTGATATCGAAGATAGCTAGGTAGATAACGATCGATTCAGGCCTACTAAGCTATCTTTAGCCTAAGGTAGCGAAGATAGCTATCTATATCTAGAATCGATTACTGTCAGCTAGTGTATGTGTGGCTATATGAGTTAGTTAACCAGCGGCCCGCCGGCCAACAGCCCGGACCGGACCATCGTTTTTCCCGCAGAAGGACCCCTCTGCATATACCTCTTCAACAGAGAGTTTTACTATAGCAAATCGGCCAATCTAGGCCACGGATTCTAACATCCAGCTCTTTCCTAATCTATCAATTAGTCAGATCATCGTTATATGATCGGATCATCGATTAGATTATTGATTTGGTCTATTTTCTGCTGCCTAAACTGCCCCAATTGTGTACTTAAACACCTATCTGCTCATTAGTTTAGTAGTTTAGATTTAATGCACTTTTCAATCTATCCTATTAATCTCGTTTGACTATTATACCTAGAGAAGATCTTATGTATTTAAGGTCTATCTATCTCATCTTGGTCCTATTCGCTAGAAGAACTTCTATCTTGACTAGCTATCCTAACGTCCTATGTGGATCCTTCTTGTCGGATATACTAGGATCTGATAGTTATAAGCCCGATCGCTCTAACTAAATAGACTTCGAATCAACCGGACGGCTTCTTTCGGCTAAACTAGCTTGGCTACGCTATTAACTAGTCGTATCTGTCTATTATCCTTGTTCTTTTACTCTATCTCTTACTTCCGTCTCACTCTTTATTATAGCTACAGAAGCTAATTAGCTAGTCTTTTATCTAAAGACCTCTGCTGATTGGATTTAGTAGTATATAGCCGTGAAGGACTAAGCAGTTACGTAGGGTCTATAGGACTATATCAATCCTGAGGTACTAATCGAAAGCCTCAGAAAGCCCCCTCTAGAACTAGATTACCCCGAAATCGACCTAGCGGACCTTCCTAATCTAGCAGACGAAGCGCTTACGAGATATAATCTAATCTCTCGCGAGTATAACTGCTAGTTGAATCGCTTCCGTTACTATTAGAAAGGGGTAGATCGTCTAAAGCAGGGTATTCGTAATTTAGTTTCTACTAATAATAAGCGATTGATCCTATCTTAGGCTAACCTACGTAACGTAATCGATATGTTTCGTCTAATATATACGCCTACCAATTCGTCTCGGAAGCGCTAGATCTCGAAAACTTGGTCTAATCTGCGTACGTAAGCGCTACCTAGGTCTAATTACGATTCGTGGGTCTAAAAGTGGCTAGTCTGCTATATAGAAGCTAAAGAAATTAGCCTATCTGAATTCGACGATACCGAGCGAATTCTATATAAATTCTTAGAGGCTATTGCGCCTCTGTCGCCTAGCTTCTATACGATTTGGATAAATCGAATCTATAAGCAAAGCGGTGTCTATTCAACTAGTAAATTGCCAGAGTTCCCCGCCCTTATTAACCTCTATTCGGAATCAATTCGGCTATCTCCGCTAATTTATTAGGGCAGATTTGCCTATAGAACGACCTTCTAGGGTAGAAATCCTGATAGGATAGAAGCGGAAAGCGCTAACAGCGGCAATTCGCCTACTAATCCTGGCTAATCTAGTTAATCTAGCCGATCTAGTAGCTAGAAGCGCCCTTGCCTATACGAAAGCGGCCTAAACGATAGCTATTATAAATTCGATAAATGCGTATACGTTAATCTATCGGTCACACCACCTAATTAGCAACCTGACCTATCTGTAGAAGACCGTTTCAAGAATACATACAGATATATTAGTTTTAGAAATACCTATAAGCACGCGATTGCTAGGCACTAACCTAATTCAACTAATCTACTAGCGGCTAAATCGGATAAAGAATCTACTAGGGCTGCGTTTGGCACGTACGTCCCTAAACAGAAGCTTTCGTCTCTTCTTCAGGCTAATCGTGTATATAATTCGATTTATACTAACTAACCGGCTAACGATATATAGTATTTTAATACTAGGTCAACCTTATATATCTGTAATAACCTAGACCTTTTAACCGATTATTAACCGGCACCTTCCTCTGTTAGAGTAGGAAACACGGAAACTACTATCCTAGGCTTCGGAAAAACAAGCTTCTAGCCTATAGATAGCCTGGATAGGACTAAAATCGCCCTAATTAATATAGCATACGCGCCCGGTTTCTATCTAAATCTCCTATCTGCTAAGAGAGCTACTAAAGGAGGTCTATTTCTGCAAGGAAAAGATAGCCTACTACTAGATTCGAACGGCTAACCTGTTTGCCGATTGAATAGCAAATCTAGTCTCTATCTTATCAAGTAGAATCTATTAACGCTAGACGGTATAGCTATCGAATCGCCTACTAATTTAGCTAATCAGATCTCTAAGATTCCTATCGTGTTAGATATTGAACTAACTAACGATTTCGGCTAATTCGGTCTATCTTCTTATACGCCAAATCGAGCTAAAGGACTAATTAACTTATAGTATAGGCGCCTAGGTTATATAAATCAAGAGGTCCTATCTTACCTAGCCGACTACTTATCTAATATCTTACTCGATTTAGCTATAGTAACTACCGAATTAGCTGATATCTATAAGGTTTATAAGGTTTTAAAGGCTAAACAGTAGATATCTCGCCGTCTAATCGAATATACTAGACCTTTTAAATCTATCTATTAGGACCTAATCCACTAACCGCCCTCTCTAGCTAGGACTAGATATCTATCCTACTACGTAGATCCTGTCACGAGATATTAGATTAGTAAGGATCTTACTGATAAGACCCTTTTAGCTACTTCCCTTTTCGGCTAAATCTAATTCGTTAAGACCTAATTCGACCTAAAGGTCCTAATAGTCTACACCGACGGCGAGACTACCCTCCTACTAGGCCTTTCGGCCGAATCTAGAGCTCGTAGTCTAAATCTAGAGCTTTCTCCGCCTTACTAACTATCTCAAAACCTATTTGCCGAGCGCTACGGAGCGCTTATAACTAATATAGCTAGGCAGATAGTCTAAGATGCTAGCTTACTGACCTATCTTTAGAATAAAGCCTCTCTTACTACTATCTATATTCAAAATAGGATCCTACACCGTCTACTAGATTAGAAATCGCTATCTAAGGCCCTAGCTAGCTATCTTAGCTAGAAGGCTCCTTATTAGTTAAAGGAACTACTAGACCTATCTAATATACGAATCTTTAGATATAAAGCCTTCGTTAGAATCAATAATATCCTACGGCTATCAAAGATAAGCCCTCGAGCGGCTATTATCTATCTAGTTAGCTATGATATATCTAATATATAGCGAATTTGGATACCCTCGAAGCGCCGAATCGTCCGCGCACGCGACGTTGAATTCGATAAAATATATTTCTATAGAGACGAAAGCCCTCCTTATCGTATAGAAATCTTTAACGATTCGTCCTAACGCCTCTAAATTCTTGATAATACAGCTGCCTTACAGATCCTAGATAAGATAGATATACCTAAAG